ATAACAAGCACACCTGTCATGAAATTAAACATAATTTTAGCATACTTTTATGATAACATTTTTCCCATTTAATTCCTAAGTGTCATTCTTCTCTGAGTTATATTTGATGACCAAATACTCCAAATACAATTTTTATATATTAGCATAATTTAGTATTAAATAACATATGAAGCTCTTAAAAGCACAGCAAATTCTAATTTACTAAAAAAATGCAGCCTATTCAGAAACCTGGACTTTCTTATGGGGAAATCATAGAATTCTATGGGAGTATTAGAAAACTTAGAACACAGACTTCTGCACCTGGTTTACACTGTCATATCTATCCAGCTTTCATGCCACAAGAGTAACATCAAGCAAGGTTTGTGTGTATGAAAGCGTCAGGTCTCTACACTGTAGGCCAAAGTGGAAAGTATTGGCTCTAATCAAGAAGCAAACTTCTGAGCTCAGATTTCCTTTGGAAATTCACGATGACCTGAAAGTTATGATAACCTTCCTCTTCACCCCCATTTATTCTTCTTACATTTTAGTTAAGATCCATGAAAGGTTATTACATTCCTTTTCCTTGATTAGAATGCTTTAATGTTAAACAAATTATTTTAGAATTGTAAATTCTAAACTTAAAATAATATTTCACAGATATTTAGACACAAGCCTGGTTTATATTGTAAATATAAACATGTCACAGAAACCAGAATTGTGGCTTGTCCAGCCAAAAACTGGACACATTTTGTTTTAACTAAAAGAAGTTACTTACACTGTCCCTAAAAATTAAGGCATCATACTCAGTCAATCCTACGCATCTAGCAGGACCCTAAGCACCTAGCAAGGACAAGTTTTAACCTACGCTGTAGGTTTGAGATGGTCTGTCAGCCTTGCTACAGTTGAAGATGGAAGACATCATCACCATCACAGATAAAACAATGACGACAGCATCACCTGGAGATCTGTTGACAGGACACGGTGTTTCATCCTAGTTGAGTTTCAACTATTTTTTGAAACTTATTCTAAACTTTGGTGTACATGTCCCTATTACCTCAGATAGGAGTATTTTCCTTCTAGTTGTACAACACATACATTCCTTGGCATGCATTTCTTCTAGAAAACGTCTCACTCAAACAGGTTCTACAATGCAGCTGACGTTTGACTGATCAAACACGAAGCTCACTGATTGCTGAAGAGTGATGAAGAGACAAGCAGCTTTTGGAAGTACTTCTAGGATTTCCTAGATTAGAAATTTCTACTCTAGCACTGAAGACCAACTTTCTCATATCAGAGGAAGGGTATTTATGCTATTTTTCTACTTTGCACATGGACTAAAAAAAAGAGCTTTAAAAAAGTGCTAGAATTGCAGTCACATTTTAGCTGTATGAACCAATTCAGAACTACGTACATGCTTGAAAATATTATCATTGTTCTTTATCCTGAAGCCAGTCTACTCCATTAAACTATAGTCTATCTTATTATTTTTTACACCTTTTTTATCAAGATATGACTGCCAAACTCCTTTGAATTTCAATTCATTACATCTTCTATAAGTTAAGACAATTCTGACTTTTCAGAAATTACTTTAGCCACCAGCCTTTTCTCCCTGCTTCTTCCACACAGACCTCAATAGCAGTCTGTCATTAGTAAATTCTTTTCTTACTCCAAGTTTTATGGGCAGCTCTCTGTTCTAAGCCTAGTCCACTATCCTCATGTTTTGACATTTCCTTCCCCCTCCTCCCCCTTTTTATTTTATTTGTTCTTTTTCACTTTGTTATTTAGTTTCCGGATGTCAGCTAACTCCATAAGACTGCAACAATGACTGCCACAATGCCTGTTTTTTAGGGATATACTCCTTTCAGTGGAACGTGGAATTCCTTTACAGTTCAACTAAGCATCCTGTACAGCATGCATGGGGCAAGCTAGGCATTTTATAAAGTAGTCAAATTAAAAAGCATAGAGCGGAAAGCTACCTAACTAACTCAGCTGGTAGGGAAACAGAAAATGGGACTGGATCTTGAAACTTACAACTTGTCTGAGCATAACAGCATATTTAAGCCTGCATATAGTTCCTTTCTTCCCCAAGAAGTAGTCAAACTTTGCTTGATATTGCAGGGGATACACATTCAATTCTCTCTCCTGCCATGAGAAATCACTGGTTATGATTTTTGCTTACTAGCAATCTTACGCATTTCTTAGGTGTGAAATATATAATGGTAGGAAAGTAAGCATGCTGTAAGTCAAGCATCATAAATCAATTTTCTAGAGACACTATTCTGAAGGCTAAAGGGTTCACTCTGAATTTTATCTGATTCACGGAAGTATTAAGGGTAATACAAGGGTATTTTCAGAACCATGCATGGGGAAAAACAACCATAAAACTGTTAGTCTAACACCATTCTTAATGCTTTCAAGAAAGAAACACTGAGTTAATCACAGTATATGGCTGTCTTCAATAAAAACAGCTGTTTACGAGTCTCAACTGCACACAGCTCATCTGCACCAAAACTGGGTTATACTCATAAAAAAAACCCTGCAAATGGTAAGTAACAGAAGCCAAAAATATTTTTAAAAGTACTTAGATATTTTTAACAAAGTATGACACTCACACTTTCAGTCTCTTATAGTCTTAAAGGCTAAGTGTTTTTCTGGATAATATTCTTCAACCAAATGGAAGTTACTTGGATCAACACAAAGTTAAATGAGTTAAATTTTATACACTATGATATGCAGAAAGTCAGACTGAATGATCTAATGACTTCTCATGATGCTGTAATTTAATAAACTACTAGAAACTAACAAAAAGTAGAGACTTCCATCAGGAAATCTTAGAAATCCAGTTTTGGAGAACTGTGGATAATTTATCAAAATATGTGTATTATCATTACTGTTCTCTTTTAAACACAAGGGAATTTTATTCCTCAGTTCAACATTTTTTTAAAAACTCAGTATTCCATGGTAACTATATAATTAATAAAAACATGATCTTTCAAAGTGCAATCCTCCCATTCTAATTTAATTGAGTGCTTTTTTGTTTTGTGTTATATATTCAGTGTAGACATGTAGACGTATCCCTTAAATGGTTCTGTTTTTCACTTGACAATGAAGCCAATATCCTATTTCCCATGTATGTCTGAAAAGAAAAGCAATCATCACGGTACAGAACAAAAAAAAGTTTATGAGGCTCCCCGAAACAATTATGTTACTCACATATGCAAGTACCTTCTAGCAGGTACTAGGAAGCAGGAAATTGAGAGGATGTAACTTCCTTGATTTAGTCGTAGAGGCATTCAGTCATGGTGTGGGTGAATGGGAGGTGATGCGCGGATAGCACAAAACATTATAAACCTTGAAGATCTTTTGCACATACTCTTCCCAGCTTTTACTGAATGTGTCTGCATGGCATGTTCATTTTTAACACCAAGCTTGCACTGTAGCTTTCTTTAATCACTGTGCTAAAGAAATATGATTTCTGCTTTCTTTTCAAAGCAGCATTTGACGTATCATGCCAGCTATGGGATGAGGTGAAAGCAAAGAGCTCAGACTTCAGAATTTTAAAAGACCTTACATATAAAAAGCCAAAAGATATGGAATGTAGAAAACACAGATGGTTAAAAAAATTCCTGTGATGACAGGATATATGCTATCGCCACATTGTTTTTCTCGGATTCTAAACAAACTCTAAATTCTTCAAATCAATTCTTGTCATCATGCCAGCTTGTCATAATAACCTAACTGCATATATGTAAACTATTTTCATGTATCTGTGGAATAACCTGCATAAAATATGCATGACATATGGATGAAAATGAAGATGTGGTATTAGAAGATTGTTTTTGTTGTTAAAAGTGACAAATTCACAGCACGGTCAGCTATTACTATAAGAGATGTTATTAACAAGAATTTCAGAACTATGAGTGATTTGGAGGAGCTCTTTCCTCAACAGTGGAAATATATTTTCCTTTACCCTATCTTTTTCAACTTATACAAGTGAAGGAAAAGAATGAAGGAAATGAAGATGAGTATTACATGTGTTTTGAATTATTTTTGTTCAGATCTTATAGAATTGCTTTTTAATCCTAAAATTCATCTACTTCCATGCAAGTACAGCGTTTTTTTCACACATAATATAAATGAGATCATACTTGCCCAAAGATTCTCTTGCATGATAGGTGGGCTGGAAATAACTGTTTACTTCCAACCCCTTTTTTGATCAGCAGATTGTTAGCTTCTATTTCAGTCTGCATTGGAACTTTTAGCAGTTGCATCAGCTAATGATTGGAAAAACATGTCATCCATAACTCAGTGTTGGTCAACCCATGTAAAGAAAGAAGAAAATCTCTTGATAATAAAGGTGCCTAGTCTTTTTAGAGTTATCACAATGTATTTAACAATGCTGTCTTTTGAAGGAAGACCTAAAATATTTCCAGGCCAAACTCTACTCAGAGTTTATCAGTCTCATAACATCATGCTCTTTAAAATGCTACGTTGATGCTTAAAATATGACAAGTGATGCTATGACTGCTCTATGATTGTCTTGTATACTTCATGCTTGAGTGAAAGATGACTAAAAGTGTATGAATATTGACAATAGAACCAATGAAAATCGTTTTAATTATATTTAAGACAAAATAACAAAAAGCAAAAAAATTACCTTTTAACCACTTTTGTTTCATACAGAAAGGTAGACAAAAGTAAGAGGGGGAAAAAAAGAAAATTTTCAAAGCCAAATATTTAAAAATATGAAACAGAGGAGGAAGGTTGTAAGCCAAATCTCAAAAGCACAGATTTAATTGGAATCTGAAATCAAAGGGTAAACGACGAGTCTTCAGTTCTAAATTTAAAGCCCTAGGTAATATATACTAAACAAAATGTACTGCCACTCATGAATACTATATACAGAAACATGGAGCACCCAAACAGAGATGGTACAGCCATGCAGGAAAAAAAACACTATTATTAAACTAATATTAAAAAGGTGATACATTAAAATGTATTCTTTTTTTAAACTCACTCACTTGTGACCAATCTCATGTGCAATGGTAAAAGCTGAACCTAGGCCAATGTCTTCATTAATGCTGCAGCTCCTTTCAGGCTCACACATTCCAGCCACAGAGGCCAAGCCTGAATAAACAGAAGGAGACACAAAGGGTCATGCCAAGGTGTTTCAGTCTTAAAAGCCCTAGTTATAAATGCCTGGATTCTTTTTAATAACCTCTATGCACAGAAGGAGCAGTTGGCAAAAGGTTAACTTTCTAGTCATTTGCAAAATCACTGGGGGGAATTTCACTTTGCCGGCTAGACATTAATATTTTTTGAACTGCAGTCAGTGCTGGAAAATGTCTAGACTAGGGGTTAGATTTATAAATTTTACTTCTGGTAACTGGGGACCACCTAGTAACTTGAGCCAGGAGAGGGAATTCAAGAAAGCATTTCTATTTTAACATTCTTGAGCTTGAAGAAAGCAAAATGTATCCACATTATTTTTCTAAAGAAATCTGTTTAAGTTTAGTGGGTTCATAAAAACATACAAGCAACTTTTTTAGCTATGAAAAGCCCCACATGGTATGTTAAAAAAAATTAAAAAAACAAAACTGAATGCATCAATGAAGAGAGAGGAGACATGTTAATAACAAGCATTCATTTAACCATGGTAGTCTTTTCCATTTATCACCCATCATCTTCTGGAATTAAAACGTTATTGTATTACAAGCCCTTATAAAACCTTTCTTTAGAGAGAAAAAGCCACTGGCATTTACAGAATGTGACTCTTCTGTATTTTACGCATTCTTCAGCAACAGATTATCACACAACACACTGCAGTCATAATTTAGTGCCACTAGAGAAAGCTCTAAACATCAGATTTATTTAATGTATTCCTCCCTAGAGTTTCTTACATGAAAAAAGCAGTAATCCTTTCTTTAAGGAAATTACCTGCTCAGTTAACTACAGTATAACAAAAAAATGACTGGAAAAAGTGTAACTTTCGTTGGGGGGTGGGGGAAATGGGGCAGGTAAGGGGGAAGAGAGATATCATACTCTTTATCTAGGAGTGGGTCAGCAGAGTGAAGCACTGATATTCAGGCTCCTCACATATCTTTGTATGTGGGTTGGACACTACTTTGGACTAGTTTAATCCTGTAGGCTGAACATATTCGCTACACGTGGTTCAAAGCATTCTAAAGGGAAAAAATATTACAGGGTATCATGACAATACAGCCCATATAGTGATATAGACCCTAATGTCTCCCATAGGCGCATATGGAGCATTTGGGGAGTATGTGTTCTGAGTTAGTTTGCTCCAAAACAAATCTAGTTTGCACATATCAAAACTACTCTGATAACCAAACTGACATGGGCAAAAGGTGACAATGTGTGTCTGCAGAATTTGCATCAAAACAGTACTACCACTACAAACAAATCATCAGTGTAGACAGACCCATGGGGGACAGGATGAAACATCAGAAGAAAAAAGACTATCCATGAAGAAAAATCTGTATATTTTTTTCAGTGTGCAACCTGTAGAAAATACAATAATTACAGTTCACCTGTGATAGCTATTCTAATGCAGTAGGACATTCTGAAGACAACATGGCAATACTTACATACTAACTGCCATGTTCCCCTGCAAAGTCCACCACATTTGAGCGATAAAGTAATTTCTATCTTCAGATCTTAAAACTGAGTGCTTGCTTCAGTGACTTACAGGACCACATTAACATAATTCCATACTATACTTGGACAAAGTGACAGAGATCAAGTCAAGAACTCAGTCTATGGCTCAGATTTTAAAAAGGAGTTCGTCCTTCACTGGAGCCACATATGTTCTGCAAAGATATCTGAGGTTTATCTTTTTTAAGAGGTTCCATGAAAGATTCCCTGTTTTAGGAAACTGGAATAGGGAAGAGATGTCTACGCTACACAAAACCTGTTATTTCTGTTTCTTCCTAGAATACCAATGATTCAGGTTTCTTTTGACCTTTTGAGACCTCTCTGAGACTTTTGTTCACAGACTCCTTAAATATATGCTTAACTATAGTTACTGGACATCAGTGGGACTTAAGCATATTAAATGTCTTGCAAAAGAGGGCCACAGGGCCTTGTCTCTTCTCCAATTCAATGCCTATAATGCAAATAAATTGTCATGGTAGTGTTGCCAAGGGTCCTGTAACACTGAGTTGGAACTGATACCATAAGTGATTTTTTTTTTTTTAATAAAAAAAAGCAAGCCTTTTGTTTAATAAAACATTTGCCAAAGTCTATCCTCTGTTATGCTGGATTCAAGTAGAGCAGAATTTACCTTTATGCCAAAGTCTGATACAGTAAGGATTGTACACTAATGATCTGTGTTAAAAATATCACATAAAAATATCAAATAGTTCATGTGTGAATGTACACTTTCAAACTTTCTTCTTTTAATGCTTAAGTGCAGACAATTCTGACATCAATATAGACAGTCTATTCAGCTTTGCCTCCTTCACTCAGATATCAAAGAAAATCAATTACACTTAGAAATTCATCGGCATCATTTGCCTTTTACTAAAACATGCTGTAGATATTGCTCATATTTACAGCAGTCAAAATTCTAGTACCTTTCCCCATGTACACTACATCCCTGTGCCAGAAGTGTTGGGCTGACTCGAGCAGGACTTGTAGAAAAATTAACATGAGTTAAGGCTATCAATGCATACAGTAATACAAGGAAAGACAAAGTAAATACCATTATGAGCTCTGATTGGAAAAGTATTAATAATCTGAGTTAGCTGAATTAGAATTGTATCTTTAATTACTTCTGGGAAAGAGGCTTATGAAAGGATGCAAATTGGGGAAAAAAAAAATGTTACATTAGTCTTTGAATAATGTTTCTTTCCTATATTAAAGCACTATTAAAGGCAATAACTATACTATAGTAAATAACTTTTGGTGACAAATTTAGGTATGGATAGAACACTAGCTGTCCATCCTGCACCTAAGTTTGCTCTGTGTGCTTCTCCATTGTAAAAGCATTGTTTTAAGGAGTTTCAATGCTACTGTAATTTATATCACTGTGGTATTTCTCTCTAAGTCTGTGACAGGAACAATCTGAAGCTGTACTCCCCATGTACAACAGAGCAACAGGGTAAACCTCAAAGCATGTTTCTTTTATAAGAGTTTTTTGTTGTTGTTTGGTTTTTAACTTTCCTGGTCTTTTACTTGTATTTTTTTTTAACTAGATCACGGAGACAGGTTAAAAATGGACATAAACAGCAGATTCTCTTCTGTAAGAAGCAAGTTTGAGTGATTTGCTAGGTTTTATCAGAACTACAGCTGCCAGAGAAGAAATACACAGCAGCAGCTCACTTAATTTAAACTCTTCCAGAAATGTATCAAAGCCAAAACCCACCTAGGTTACCTTTCATTGTTCATGTTTATAAAACTGCAACATTTTGAAAGCATAAAGTTAAAAAGATCTAATCAGACAGTAAATCAATAGCTGAGTATAAAACAAGGAAACAGCAAATACAAGCTGCAATTTCTCTTTATAATCTTACCCAGTGTTCCACAAGGCTTGTTTTTGTAAGTGCAGATATCATATCTGTTAAGGAGGGAAAAAAAGTAGATAAAATATGTCAGAGAATCAAATTTGTAAGATATTCTGTATATTTATCACATATCTGTATCATAGTTCAAGTTGTCAGACCGCAATCAGCTTAATTATGTGCAGCCAGCTGGTGTCGGCATTTTCTACACTCTGGTGTAAACCGCAAGCTGCAGTACACTCACAGCCGCTGGCCTCAGGCCAGTGGGACACCTGCCAGCAAGAAAAAAATGGTTAAAGTGGATCTTTGTAATCACCGGCTCCATAAAGCAGTCTACCATGCTGTTATGAAGTCACAGCAGCATATCTATAGACTGCTACTGCTTCGAAACACTTTTACTTTTTGAACATAATTGGAATCCTCTTACAGTCTCACACTTACCAACTAAACAATATTAATTGTAACTCCTACTACTTAAACTTTAATTCTAATTAAAAACTGTAACTCTCAATTATTACACCAACAGTTATATAAATAAAATCTTATGAACTGCCATTATAGTTCCCTTCTCATTATCTTCCAATGATTATACGCGTCTTAAGAGGATACTATAAGAAAGTAAAATGAAAAACACTTTTGCGAAAAGCTAATGTCTTCAAAGGACAATTTTCATCATTTTAGGTACTTTCCTCCAAATATAGAAGCTCAGTGAGTTTCTGTGTAGTTAACATGTAAGTATATGGAGCTGAAAATGGAATTAAAATGTTTTCTGCGGCATAGCTAATAACAATAGCAGTGGTCATGCAGCAGTCAATTCATTAATTACACCTTCATATTTTGAATATGCAGACCTAAGATACGGCTAGTGATATGAGAACACCCCTACAACACCTTTGATTTTCGTGGATTCATACTGATTTCCTTGCAGTATACGTTTCAGAAAAATTTCTATTCTTTTGAATGGTGAGTGAAAACAAAGATGAAAAGATATCATCTTTATGCTTTAATTTTTAACCCAGATAGTTACTAATTTCAGGCCACCAGACATTTCTGTTAAAAATAACCTAAGGACTGTTATCACGTAGGAGGCTGATCACGAGTTCTATACCTTTCAGTGCTAAAAAGAGTTAAGGTCTGTCTGTGAGCCAAATCCATGGGCAAAATAACAAAGCTTTAAATTTGGAACAAATCCAGTAAACTCTATGCATGCAGACTGCTGTGACCACATGGAATTCCTGTGATTTTTAAAGGTACTAAGTGTGGAGCAATTTCTGGGATTAAGTTCTAATTTTGAACTCAAATGTGTGAACTGATCTCATCAAGGTGGTCCAAACTCTGCCATCCTATACACGTAAAGCTCTCACTGATTTCCCATTTCCTGTTTGGATGGGGGAGTGTAATCAAACCAGCATTCTTATATAAAATGTGTTGGAATATAATCAGGTTTTGTATGTCACAAAGCTTTAACACAACACAGATACAGAGAGAAAGAAAGATTTTTACTGAGTATTTCCTGACTTTTACATATTTACGGAAGCAAACTTCCAATTTCTGCATTTATGACAGAGCCTGAACTTAATCCTATTGAAGTTCATGCAAAGTTATTCCTCAAAGAAAGCAGACAGGGCTCAGGTTTATTTAGTGAGAAAACCTAAACTTGCTTGAATTCTTTAAAATGTAGTCTAGAACTGAACACAAGGAAGCCTGGTCTTCTAATGTTTTTTAATATCCAATGCTAACAGAAAAAAAATCAATTAAAGACATACAACCTTAGATAAAATGGATGTTTAAGAAGAAAGCCAGTTCCGCTAAAATCAAGTAAAAATGTTATCACTGATTTCAGCACAGCTGAAAATTTGCCATTGTGACCTGAACCTGCTTACTCTCATTCAGGTATGAATCTGAAGTTACTCCTCAACTTCAATTTCTCTAGGAACTGTGATAGGAGAGAATTATATGAACTAAGTCCCTTGTTCCTGTTATATTTTTGAAAAACAAATACCATAGTATCTGTGTTGGTTTTGCATGGCAAGGTTT